GAAATGATTGACTTTCATTGAAAACAAATGCTTCGCAAAGCTTCTTCTCCTTTTTGGGCCTTGTGCGTTACCGAGTACATATCGATATTAAAACTTTCCTTTTTGTGGCGTTACCTGAAAAAAACAATTTTATTATACTATTCTGCGTTTTAATTCAGATTTTAAGTCAGATATTATTTCTTCAATTATGCCTTAACTATTCATTGAATTCTTTGGATACTATATACTTTATATGAAAGGTGCTAATCTAACTATCCGAATCGTTTCACAGAATGAGAGCAAACGTATTTCATTAGAAATGTAAGTTTTCTCTTTTCTCTCTCACTTTGAAATTTCATCTATTAAGTTTGCCGCATTCAGTCAGAACTACCAGAAATTCCTCTTAATTGACTTGAATGAAGCCGCCCAGGAAAGTTCAATCACGCCGAGAGGTATGTTTTCTTGGTTCTTCCCGGGGGTTGTTTTTCAGATCGATAGTGATCGATAGTGATTAAATCGTTCGCTTTCCAGTTCCGAACTACCGAGTTCAAACAAATTCTGGCACGTTTTATTGGGAAGCACTATTTTGTTCATCTGTCAAACAATAACAATGAATAATTGCAGGAAACATAATTGCTTAAAGTGTCAGGTGCAATTAACGTCACATGGAAAAACACCGTTTTCTCCTGATTACCGAGTGTAACGGTGAATCCTGGTCAGTACACGCCCCGTCGTTCTTCGGGCGACACGGGTTAGACTGTTGAGGTCACCCGGCCTACCGTGTGTAAATTCCGTCCTCCTGGTAATGTTCGACCAGTTGCACCACCTGTCTAAAACACGAATGCGCAATTGTACATTCGGAAATGTTGGTGACACACAGAAGATCCTAACGGAATCGTCTTATCACGAGAACTAGTCTGATGGGAATCGTCGACGTCTAACGAGCGACAGTGCCTGAATTGCCTGTATCCCGGCCAGCTGCTCAATTTAACCGCCTTATAGAGGGATTTCTCACTCAACTCAGTGTCTGCCCCTCATGTTCAACGGGCTAATCAGTTCCCCTATCTAAGACGGGCATTCAAAAACGAAAATCTCTGACAAATGAGTCCACGAGAGTCTCTAACACAGACTGAATACAGTCGACCGCCTTAATCAATGATACGGTGATCCATTGCAAAATACATTGCCTCTTGAAAGCGATGGGAAGAAAACTACAGGAAATCGCCGTGTGACCGGAGGGCGCTGTGACGGTATCTACGCACATCACTTTTCTAATTCCATTATCTTCCTTTCCTCATCGCTCTAGCCAACTTTCTGTTTACCGGTTCAGTCTATACGTGATTTTGCTCCGTGATTTGTTCCATTGTGTTTGTGATCCTGTAGCTAGGAGAACAATAGCGGTTATGTTAGTGGCAAATATGCATTAAGACAGGCCTATGTCAGTGACCAAAATTTGAATTGTCGTCAAACTGACTATTCCCACCTGCTGGAATGTTGGTCAAAGTCGAGACATTGTGATTCGTATAGAACGTTGTTCGACTTGACGTTACCGTCACAACCCCAGATACTCACAACGACCGGGTGAACAAAATAAATTCCCGTCTGTTCGTTAGATGAAATAATCCCCAATAGTCTGTGGTGAGAATTTCAACTCCTCAAGAGCAAAGTTTATTTTGATTACTAATTTAAATATACATACATGTATATACATGTATTTCTGCCTTTTACATCATGAAATGCATCGGTCGCTCAGTCCCAATCCTTCACTACTATCATATTATAAACATAAATCCATGTATTGTCATGAGTACAATTTACTGGAGACCAACCTGACCACTAAATTATGTTCCGAAAAGATGATGCGTAAAAGATACTTGGCCTCGGTGCAAGCGAATGTTCTCTAAATGCCTAAAGTCCATCTATACTGCAAGACCAGGCTTTTATTCTTCACCAATAAATGACTCAGGTTCAAACATTAGGATCGGTAAAAACAACGCAAACTATGATCATGTATTCACATTCCTCCACTTTCGGTGTATTTCGAATTGCAGAAACACATTTTGGCATTGGAGGAACTGCTTCGGGAGCTGGGTTCCACGAACGAGGCCATCCGGAGATGCAAACCACGATGTGAGTGTTGTCATCGAGAGGAATTCTCCATTTTGTTTTGTATTTTGCCTTGGATTGCGCGCTCTTCTGGTTTTGGCTCACTCACCCTAGAACCGCGTTGGTTGTACACAACGGAGTGCATTCTATGGACAGACGGCGTGAAAAGGAGGAGTACCAAGTTTTGTTCATGCGCATTACATCTGTAGTTCAGCATTGAACAGAACTCGTCAATCCGATCCGAGTTGGTCAGGTTATAGAAATACCACAGAAGGAAAAACAAGATAACACAAATATTTCCCTAGGCAAACTCAGTCCTATTACACACAAATGTTATCACTCTTCTCTGCGCAACTCCAATAGAACAGAGCTGGTTTGATAAAAAGACGAGCTTAAACAAACACAAGCGGTTGGACATGTATGTACTTGTGAGCAAAAAAAAGGGAGATGGCAGGGATGCATGATCAAAACACATGTTGTCCTTGTTAATACGATGCCTAACTTCAAGTGTGTGTAAGAGAGAAATTGAACTAGAAGAAGCGATGTGCGAAAAATAATCCTTTTGAAGTTTACATAGTAACGAGTGGGTTTCAACTCCCTTTGCCTTTTGCGAAATTCCTCTCGTTTTGAATGAAACGGACACAACTAAAGAAACGTGCACATTTGTTGACTTGGTAAAATGGAAGAGACTGTAAAGAGCTAGGACGCATGCTGGAAAATGTAGGTGGAATGGCTGATACTCTTCAATTGCTGATAGTTCACCGCACTCAGATTCATCACCAGATTCATAGTGATATCAGTTATTCGGTAAATTACATTTCCAAAACTTCCAACTAATATTCATTTTAGATTCATGCTATTTTTCGTCTATTCTCAAATTCCAAACAGAAACAATTATTGCACTCAAATCACGCTAAATATATGCAAACATTGTAATCCGTGTTGCTATAGTTCGATAGACGGGATTGCTAGGTTGAACGTGTAACTGCCCCAGTTGACGGTGGATGATGATCATGAGACGTTTGCTCGTGCTCTACCTGATTCCAGTGGAGCTAGTGCTTTGAATGGTGTGCCCATTGATCCGATACCCTGTGACCTGTTTTCTTTTTGTTCTATCCGGTGCAATGCTTCCAACGTAATCGGTTTTTCTTCAAATCCGAGGCGAACAGCTGGTCTCAGAAACAAATTTGATAGACAAGTATAATGGTTAGGCTGAATCACGACAAAGGTGGTAGTGGTGTATCTATTGTTGTTAGTCTTATCGTCAGTTCCATTTAGAAGTGCAGTGATTGATTGTTATCCACCGAAATGCCCAGAGGTTCCGAGAGAACCGAATGGAATTTAATCCATTCCGTATCACAACGTTTGATTTGATTGGTAGAGAATGAACGTGTGAGTAAGTACATAATATTACTTCTAATAGGGACAGAATTGCAGAAAACATATGTACATTTTTGGACCAGTCTAAGGAAGACAAATTTTCGATAATCACAGATATTATCATGCCTGACATACTGAATCATGTTGAAATCCAGTCTTTTTAGCAGCATATTCAGCAGTTGTATTTGCTTGTATTGTATTCTGCGGCAGTCAGCTCTCGTCTATCACCCATGATATATACATCGGAAAAGTCTGGGTGACAGCCGAGAAGAGCGCCCGAACAAGTGCTGAACTCTCGTTCAGACTCACTCACAGTGCTTTTGGTCTGTAAGAATTCAATGAACTAAATATTCCAAATAGAACACACTGCAAACTTTATACTATCCGAAAAAGTATCGGTACAGAAAAAAAATGTATTGCTTTCATCGTCTGATTGATCCCTTAGACTGGCTAACATATCTGCTGAGCACCTATTTCGTGCGAAAATTCCACTGGTTCCAAAAAGATGCCGCCGGAAATCTCGATTAGCAATCTTAAATTGAATCCAGTAGAACTGCTCCCACCAGCTGACTTGAAAGGGAAGTTGTACAAAGTTTGAAAGGCAGAATAATTTTCTTTTTGAAGTGAAATGTTACCCTAGTTGGTGTTACTACAAACTTCAGTAACAACGATAGTACAAGCTCCGTAGTTGATGTTTGCGTATGGAGCAGCAATACCAACCGCCGCCCACCTCGACAGAACTAATTTGCTGCCTATGTCGACTCCTCTGGCAAAATAAAGATTTCACTCTCTATTTTATTGAAGGAAGTATGTCTACAGTTGTGCCGACCTCATACGGCATCCATTCACCAAATCCTATGAGACTCCGTATTCGACATCGCGAATAGGCACTTTTATGTGCGCGTGCCCACGCGCACAGTCGATTAGTGGATTCGGGTGGCGGGGTGGGGTGTGGAACGCGTGTTGCCTGACTCGTGTCAGGACTCCGTTGTGTTCTCATACAACGGAGCATCCGACCGATGTTGATGAGCTGAACGCGATGCAAACAATAACACAAGCCGCTGTTAGGAAACCAAAAAACCCGAACAAGGTAGGATACTGTACGAACAACCATGCGAATGAAATTATGTTTAATGAACATCCCGGGCTGAGCTGAGGATGGGTAAAATAATATCGTAAGCGATCAGTGTTTGGCACGCACTACTGCATTGAATAAAATGTCCATTTGGATGCAAGAGTGAACGCACCCAAATGGGAGAACCACAATGGTGGCATTTACTTTTTGTTATGAAAATAAACACAGTAACCAGGGGGATCAATACCAACCCAAATGAAAAACGAAAACTGATGTTGTGAATGATGCAAAAACGTGGACCGAGAATGAGGGAATTGGTGAGGATGAAATCCCCCTTTGCTAACTATTGGTTATGTATAAAGTTAGAAATATTATCCAAAGCTGTTGCAGCACATCTAGTTTCTTTTGGTCGTTTTTTTTCTGGTCCGATTCTCTTCAGAGATGCATACGCTCAATGATGACTGATGCATAATGGTCGATGCAGGTAGGTGTTTATCAGCTATTCACACGCGGTTTCGTCACTAAGAACACCTAAAACAGGCATCAAAGCCTTAACACACAACTTCGCCAATGTTCATTTGACCGTGAAAGTATGAATTATTATCACAGTCCATCGGAGAAATTACACGATATGGGTAGATCTTGTTAAGGAAAGATGCACATTAAACCGATCAACTGAAAAGATGGAACATAATCACGTGATTTTCCATGTGGTATAGCCCCTTTTTGTTTAAAAACGTTTCGACCTTTGGGTTGACCAATGTCGCTCGGAGGATGAACCGCTGGACTGTGTCATTTATCCGTGTTCCGATTTATTCTAACTCAAGCTCAGCACAGAACAGAAATATAAGCAGTGGTGGCCCGGTGGTAACGTGACCAAATTATTACCCCAGGCATGTATGTTCGAATCCCAACACTACCGCCTGACTTTCCCATTTGTGTGTTGAATGGCAGCCCTTTGATTGGCCGTTTCCTCCTTCCTGATATTGTACCCCTGTATACGCCATAAAAGGAAGTAAAATGAAAAGAACAGAAATGAAACGACAAAAAAAGAAATGAAAAATTTTGCGAGGCGGACAAAGTTACTTACCTCATCATCATCAATCATCGTATAAGTTTCCCCTAAAAGGAAGAACAATCAAATTTATCTTTATAAACATTGAAAAAACAAAGGGATGAAATAATGTGGCTGACTGAGGAACTTACATTTTTATATTAAGCGCTGAAACCTTGAGGTAACATTACATAAGAAACGATCCATTTTGAAAAACAATGGGCTTGGTTTGCACTATAGACATAGTGAATCTAATCCCTTACACGGTTGCTGCGTGGTTAGTATGCTTGTTTTCTACGTATGAGGTTGTGGGTAAAATTCTTATTTGGATCGATTAGTTCGCACCGAAATAGTAATCCATTGCTGCACGGCTGTTTAGTTTATCTTTCTATGACTCTTCATATGAAAAACCAATGCCTCATTTGTTCAAATTTGTATTGATCCCATTGATCCGATAAATATTTGTCGAACATGGAATAATCCACACTAACTGGAATAGCTGACGTCGGATCATGTGACTTAATTTTTGCTATTATATTGGACAATTAAGATTTTTCTTTTTAGATGACACATGAAATAATACATAGTGCGCAACACAATTGGCGTAATTTCACCACTTATTAACAAATAAGTATATTAGATCTAACTTTTCCCGGTTTTGCTGTGCATATGAGACCTGATTATGTTTTTTTTTAATTAGCCGTATAACGAAACCAAAAAAACACGTGTTGACAGTGCACACGAAACAAAATGAGTTCAACCCATTCATGCACATTTGCTTTTTTTCGTTTGTTTCTCTGTATTTCCACAGATAAAAAATGTACAAAAGAACAGACCAACAACGCGCTCAAATCGATTGCAGCCCTCACCACCGGGGTGATGGGTGGACTTGTTGGAGCCCCGCACACCATGCAAGGTGCGATTTCACGATTCAGCGGAACCACGGGAATGAACACCCCGACCGCGTCACAGAAATCGTTGCAACAGGTATGTCACACCAATTAAATGTCTCTTAAAAACCACACTCCAGGATTTGTTGAAAACAGCACAAAATATGAAAAATGTGGGTGGGGATGGTGCGGGGTGGGGCGGCGAGCTGGAGGGAGAGAGGGAGGCAAACAAGTGAACTCATGAACCGTGTGTGTGTGAACCATTAATCAGCCATTCATAAAAATATCCTTACCTCCAACTTTGACTGCTCACATTGTGAAAAATTATTACCAAACATAGTTATGATCAGACCTCGATAAGTTTTTGACTGATTTCAATTTGGTTCGTTCCATTTTCGAAGCCAACGTGTTATCAACTTGTCCCGATGAAAAACTGAATGTGTACACAGACTGAACAACGCACCCGGTTATTGGAGTCGTGATAGGCATCCATCCATAACGAGTACGAAACACAGTGGCTAGTTAACACGACTGAATGGCACCATATGATTTGATATGGCAATAAAAGTCCAATTGAGGATAAGATAAGTACGTTTTTACCACACATTTACGTCACAGTTCCCTAGGAGTAACAGTTCTCGAACAGATAATTTTAAGATGTCAATTTCACACGGAACTCTTAATCAACCCCGTTAACCACAGGTTACCGAATCACAACACTGATGTGAGTTTCGCTCTTGCTAGTGCTCCAACTACCTGTCCGGGCTCCGAATGTGATGATGCTCAAAAGCTCGTCATAGCTGCATCCTGTCTGTTTGTCTACACATTGTTCAAATGCACTAGAAATACTGCACAATGATCTTGTTTGCAACACCGGGTGACTTTTGAGTAGACAGCTGTTTCAGAGCCTGCCCATTCAAAAATCAATGCTGCGATTCGATATGTTGTAGATGGGTAAGATGCTACTAACCGCAAAAAGCGTGACTTGATAGTCTACAGCAATTACTTCTGTCATTCAAATACTACTTATTACGATTTTGTGTGATGGTGGCCAAGTGGTTATGTCAAAATCTTGTGACTTGTTAGTCCCGGGTCCGAAAGGCTCCACCGCCGTCCGTCTTCCCAGACAGCCGTTGTATGGCCACAGCCCCCCCTCCTGAATTTTGATTGTACATTTGTCTATTCAATAAATAAAAGAGCAAGTAAAAGGACAGTTATTTTTTATTATTTATTATGATATATATAAAGATAGCGGATTAACTTGATCACTCACTTGTGTACTGGTGACTGCAATTCCTTCGGACTGCAATATTAATTAGAACTGCTTTCTTGTGAAATTCGAAAAAACTCGCTCACTTCGGGATGAGAATATATCAAGGTGATAATTGTACGAAACACATCGATCGCAAACATGACCTTTCAAGCAGCGTTTCTAGCGATTTTATAATTTTTGTTTACGAAATGATAAGCCTGCTTGACTTGATTAGATCGATCCTTATGCAAACGTTTGCATCTGAAAGTTGAACTATGGCAAAAGTATACAAATGTCTCTTCTCACTTTAACGGAGCGAACAACTTATGAGTACAACCAGATCAAACGGAATCTGGAGGTATCCTACACACGGGCCTGATTTTCCTGGAGTCATCTAATATGGTAGACGAGGCGAAGCCCGCACAACAAAAGTGTGACTACTTCAGTGAACTGGATTGCATATAATATACAAACCGACACAGGTTCACTCAAAGAAGCATAGACGAAGTGTATGTGTGTGTCTTTGTGTGTGTTTGAGAGAGACTACAATCATGCAAAAATTATTTGATCAAGTGTGTTCCGTTTAACAGCTACACATTTGAACCTACAGAGGAACAAAATATTCCCTGGAAGTGAACCGCTTTTAGTCTCACACTGGAAACGTCCGCGACCCATTGAAGTTAAACAAACCTTTTATCTTTCCAAACTTGGTTGGATTTTCAGCGAGATACTGGAATATTCAAAGCTAAGCTGAAACATCTCAGGGTGTAGGAAAGGATTATGTACTAAGGAGTTTATATGTTTCCGGACTTCATTTGAAAATTTCCTCCAACCCTACTACAGTCAGCTGGTTCAAGGTCACAGCCTGCGACTACTGCGCTCGCGCACACACGCACACAGAATGAAAATACCAACTGCCGCACAATATAACATTTCATATTCCTAACACATACGTTGAGGTCTTTGGGGGGGGGGCAGGTCTAACTTAGTTCATAAACGCTCGTCACGTGATATAACGTTTCCTTGCCAAACATTTCAAATTGCCCGGAATTGGAAAAAGCCCATCAAGCATGAACTCGCATAAATTGTTTGCAAATGTGAAATGCAATCATGAATCTTTCAATTTTTCTAATTTATCCAACATTCCTTTGCATGTGACATTATGTCATGGATACTATCTTGAAGTTTCGATCTGGGCGCTGAAACAGTAAATTATTAAACCGCCCCAAAGGCATTTTAATTGCCTGCACACAAACTCTAGTGAATGTGGAGTGTGGGTGTATGCGCACAATTCATAACTAATGGTTTTTATTTAATCCAAGCGCAGAATACGGTTAGACTCATTTTTCCACTTGCTCACGTTCCCCGCCGAAATCAATTACTGTCTATAAATATAATGAGTGATAGCGATCAATTGCAAATGGTCCACATTTTTTCTAAAACACAAAAAAACGAGAACCGACTGATTAACTTTGAATTTCATCTATTTAGGCGCCTAACTTAATCAACGGTTGTTCAGTTTGAGTGTCGGGGCGGATTTCGATTTGGTATGAATTTGAAACTGTTGTCCTGAGACGTTGTTAAAATGGAAATGGATCGTTCTGATCAGTCGACCAGAGGAATTGGAGACCGGTTGGCCCAATTTGTCCTGGAATATCGGAAAACATGATCTCGTGCTCTTGTGTCACTAAGGTCGGAATTTGTTGACGCGGTCTGTATCTGATAGTCTCCTTCTCCCGTAGTGTCTGGTTTGATTGTTACTAGGACTTGTTGCACCATTTCAACCGGAATTCCCTACCTTTCTCTGTATCCGTGTTCCTAATCTGTAGGAAATGATCCATGGTAGTCATGTTGAAAGATCAATAGAATATGAAAACGGGGATAGGAGAAAATATAAGAACCACCTAAGGATGAGCACCCTTTGAAAAGATTGTCGACATGACGCGTAACATGTAGCTTTGAAAATGCCAAAAGGAACTGGAAAAACCTGTCCTGGGCAAGTAACTCTTTACTTCATGGCCACACTAAGCTTGTTCTGCATGTGTGTTCCTAGGGCAGTCGATGATCATCGCGAATTTCCGTTTAATTTTAGCCTATCATATTTAGTGCATTAGATTGTCCGGATGCACCAGAGAGTTTTTATGATCTTGCCTGTGGGTTACACTCCTTGGGAGATCGTTAATTCCCCATACTCTGTATTTGCACATGCCGGGCAAGACTGTAAGAAGCGCTGCGGCGGTCAGACCGTGACATGTTGTAGAGGTATGAAGAAGTTGGCCCCAGCTTTGGCTTCGGTTGGTACAGCACGCCTTCCAGGTTGGGGCCCAAGGGGTGAAGATTGTCGTTGGTTACAGAAGCTGAGAGATATGGCCTTGCATAGAAGTCGGTAGCGCGAATGCAGTATAGTCTGCCTGTTAAAATCCCGTGACCCATAAAACCGATAAATTAGCACACAAAAATTTCAAAACGTATACAGTCACACACAAATAATTGTTATCCCGGTTATTTATGATTTTCGATTTTAACAGTTTCAACCTCATTTACTATGTTCTACATCAAATCCCCCAATCCCGTTATTTTTATTATTATTTATATCAAACTGTTTAGCAAGGGGAGAAATCATGACAAGTTGGAATAGAATTAATCAACATCTCAGTTCAATGACCGGATACTGATCACACTTTGGTCCATGTGTGAGGACCCTTACTATGCAGTGCGGTTTATTAGCCTGTAGAAGAATCACCGCAAACGAGTTTGTTCGCTAGTTTGTGTTTTCTTACAATGGGTAATGATGGTATATGATAGTGTATTTGGAGAATTATTATTTTTGTTGTGACGTTCACACCGCGCTTGTCCGCAAACCCATGTTATGTACATATTCTTGAGTCATTCCTATCAGAAAATATTGCGATGTCATACTTGATAAAGTTTGTGGTTTTCATGTTCACATCATTTAATCTTGGCACTCGAGGTCAGATATGTTAAATTGACACTTATGCAGACTAGAAACTGCGTAGATCAAAGTAGACAAGATATAAATTAGTGTCCATACCTGAAGCATTAATACAGATGATAAATATAATGAATCTTCATTTGATCTTAAAGAAAATATTTTGTGCATCACAATCGGCCAGTACTGTATATATATACATACATATATATATATATATACATATATATATATACATATATATATACTAGTTCAATGCTTCTATGAGCCACGAGAATATTTATGATGACCGACCCAGAGCACCGGGACAGCTGTTTCCTCCTGTTTGTGAGAGCTCATAAATTCACGGACGACTGCTTCCTAATGAGCAAAATAAAAGCCACTGTTGCCACGTTTAAACAAATCTTAATGGATCATTACTTGAAGTGAGTTTTTAAAACTATACGAAAAATCATTAAATAACAATTTGTGAACGGCACATGCCAAATTGCACGAAACTGGGCACAAAATAGGATTGCACATACATGTGTTGATAAAATTCGTGCAACTTGACTTTCAATAAATACATAATACGTAGTTCAGTCTCAAAACCCATAAGCGTACGTCAACATTCATGGGCAAAGAGCATCTATGCGTACGTTGATCTCTCAATACAACATTTTCAATTCGCTTGTATCAGTCTGTATTCGAGTTTGCGCGACTTTCATTGCCCGAGCAAGTCCCAGCAGTCGTTCGGATGTTATAGCTCTAATTGACAAAACAAAATATTTGATGTAACATAACACAAACGTTTATTCCATCTAATGAGTTGCTCTTGCCTCCTGCGAATGTGTATACTGGTCTTCCTAGGACTTCTAAACCAAATACCTCTCTCTCTCCATATGATGCAGAGGAA